TTTCCATCAGTGGTAGGATCTAAAAGAGTGGTTCAGAGATTATAATATGTATATGAGTTGGAACAATCTGGCATAAACTTATATGCCATATAATGTATGACTTCCAGCATAAACTTACATGCTTAATAAATGGATTACTTCCTTAACTGTCTTAACTTCTCTTAGCCTCTAGGATAAATGAAGTCTCATGATTCTGCAGGGGTGCCATGCTGTAGTGGAAATACAATGAACTAGAGCCTTCTCTGGCCCTGCCTATCTTGAGCCATGTGGGCGCCTAAGCTTTTCTGAGTTTCAGTTATCTTCTCTGTAAAATGGGAATATTAATATCACTAACTCTATAGCACAGGACTACTGTGAGATGTTCCTCTCCCACAACATCTTTTGTCACACTGTATGGTGATTTTCTGTTTACTTATCCTGATCCCTCTAGACTGGAGCATCTAGAAGGTAGAGATTGGGCTCATTGATTCGTTCTCTAACTCCACTGTTGAGCACAATGCCTTGCACAGAGTAGATGTTAACAAAGAAGTTGTTAGGTGAGCTTTGGGAGTTGTAAGTCCTCTTTGAGAGTGACTGATGCATGGGGCAAAGGTCTCCCCAGGTGGTGGTGGGCATGTCTGGTGGCAGCAAGCTGATTTTACTCTCACTGAGGTTCACCCAGCTGCTTGTGCCTTGAGGCACTCTGTAGGATGGGAACGCTGGAGGTTTGGAGGGGGTAGGGGCAGTCACTAACCTCATATTCATCCAATTGAGAGTAGACACAAGGATTCAGGGTTGGATCAAAGCCTCAGTTTTATCAATTAACAGTAAAGCTGGGTGGCAGAATGTGGCAGTTTTACCTGCTGTGCTTACAGCACAAGGACTGGAAGCATCAGACAAGCCTGCCCTGTAAAAGTGCAGGCATGTAAGAAAACAGTGGCACATAAATCCTGTTTTCCTGCTTTGGAGTACAGTGACCCTTGTAGCTGATAATCCGGCCATTCCTGTCTTGGGGACAGGAGTAAGCGTGGAGGTAGCAGAGAGGACTGGTGAGACCTTGACATTGAGATCCTTCTACACTGAAGTTTAGACACATGAAAATGAAATAGTTGAGAAAGGCATAGATAATCCTTGCAAACATGGGAGTCACATAAGTACATAGATAACTGTAATTCAAGATGATATGGGTAGTGAGAAATAAAGCCCTGTGCAGAATTAGAACAGAGAGAGACACCAAACAATAATACCACTGGAAAGCAAGAGCTAAGGATTTGGGAACAGTAGTGATAGTGGACAAATGGCCTTTGTCCTTCCCCTCAGAGTCACGCTTGTCACGGCCAGCTATCTGAAAGAAATTCAGACCCGTAGAGAGCCTTTATGTTTTGGGCCTGAGTAGCCAACCACTTTGGTTTAAAGTTAATGGCTAGAGATTATCTAGAAATTAACACTGTGGGATTAAGTAAAACCAATGGGTCTAATCTTGCTAGAACTCCCTGTGTACTCCTGGGAGCAATTTCTCTACCTCCAGTGGAACTACCTTCTCATTCTTTAATTCACAAAATAAGATAATATGAAAACTTTTAGTGGCATTAAACAGTCTCTAAAATCAAGAGCCACATTCTCTGTACACAGGTCCATCTGGAGTTGTGCTGGTTTATTAAGTTCTTTTAAAGAAAGCATGAAAAGTAACCGATATTCATTCCAACCTGCAACTATAAATACAATAAAGAATGCTTTGCTATTGGTCTGAATGTGTAGAAAGACATTGTAAAATCACATGAGAGTTTTTTGGTAATTGCATTTCATATAGTACTTTATATACTTCTATAATTGGAACAGTAAACAAGCAAAGGAAGTCTGACAACATTTTTATCTCCCTTAAAGTTTATGGCACTTTAAATTTTTGGAGTTGTAAACCTCAGACTGCTATGAAGTTTGACATCTTTGCCTGCCAAAATGCGTTGTTTCATTTCACAATTCAATTTTTTGCCTCTGTCAAAAGAACTATTGAAAAAGAACAGTGTTATCATCGTACATGTGATACACTATTATAGAATCATAAAAAAATCTTCAAAAAATATTTGTTGACATGGGAAATGTCTAATGATGGAGAGTTAAGTGAAAAGTAGAATATAAAATCATCAGTATTGCTATAGGTATAATACTCATATATACGCCCATGGATATGCACATTTGTATTATATATTTTACACATATTATATTAATACATATGTATTATAATTATCTATTTGTCTATTTGTAGAGATAGAAAGGAAAAGACTGGAGTAAAAATAGCACAAAATGCTTATGGAGGTTATAAACTTTTTTTCAGTTCTCCAATGTCTTGTCTTTATTTGCCAAATTTTGCACAATAAATATGTAGGCTTTTATTATTAGAAAACTAAAAGCCTTTGTGTCTTGTAAAGAGCAATGGCATCATTTAGTTTAGTCTCTTTTGGACTGTCTTCGTAGTCACTGACATAGCAAGGTGACAAACTAGAAGTTGTTAAAAAAATCTTACACACAAACACACGGCCCCCGCGTTATGAAAGGGTAGAAATAAGAGCCCCCAGTGTGCCCCTTTGAGTTATGTGCCACCTCCTCGTGCTGCCATTGGGCTGAATGCAGATCTGCCACACTACATGTATCACACTATGTCACAATTTCTTCTGAGTTTTTCCCTCCCTCACTAGGTCAGAATGTTCTGAAGGGCAGGAACCATGCTTTAGTTATATTTGTAGTCCCAGTATTTGGCATAGTACCTGGAACATAGTAGGTGCTCAATAATTGTTTTCAATGCAGAAATGGTCGAGATATACAAAGGAGGTCTGTTTCTTACTCCTTTCGAGGTGCTGAATTCCTATTCCTGGAAGAGTCTTTGGAATTGGTCTAGTTCCACCCTCACCCAGAACAAACTCCCTTCCTCCACATGCATTCAGTTCTTTCAACAATATGACTTGTGTGCCCGGGGAGATGGAAACCCAGTGCTCTAAGAGGTAACCCCTTCCACCATTGCCCACCTGCATTTATTGGAAAGGTTATCTTTTTAGAGAATTAAAATGTTTTCTGTTCAAGAAATGTTTTCACTCAATGCAACTAAACTTTGAGGAAAGGACTGGGTTTTGGGGGAGGGAGAAAGATACATGTACCTACTTGAAAAAGGAACTTGCTGAAGAATTGGTGGAGACATAGTGCAGGAGGCTGACTTTAATAAAAGCTTGTTAGCATGTATGATGCTATTTAATACAGGTGATGTAGATTGAATTTGGATAAAGGAGTAGCTGGTATTTTCATTTGCCCAGCATCCGATCTCCGTTTTTTCTGGTAGCATCACAGTCTTTCCCCATTTCCCCACTCTCAGTCCCTATTACTTGGGTGGGGCTGAGCCTACTCCCAGTTTCCAGTAATGAGCACATGGCCTGAGTGAGTCCCATCAGAGCATTTAATTCTCCTTGCATTGTGATATTGGTGCAGGGGTTGGCATCTGACCTAAGGCAGGCCTTGAGACGTTATCCTTCCACTTTCACTAGAACTAATGAGAAAGAGGAATGTTTTCCTCTCGATAGGGTTGCTAGCCTATTAGGATGTTATCCAGAAGACTGGTGACCATTTTTTCACCATGAAGGAGGAGACTGCTTGAGAATTAGGCCAACATGGGATAAAATAGTGTCTATAGATGGGCAGAATCCTGTTGACATCACTTCTACACACCTGAATTCAGCCATTCCTGAATCTTCCTGAAATTTTCAGTGCAAAATAATAAACTCAATTTTTTGCTTAAGTACATTTGAGTTGGATTCTGGTTACTTGCAATGAATGGAGTCCCATCTAATACAGAGAAGGTCTGTTCTCACTCCTTCCAAGATACTGAATTCCTACTGTTACAAGTGTCTTTGAAATTGGTCTTTCCACCCTCTTCCAGGACAGACTGCCTTTCTCAACATTCATTCAGTTCTTTTAATAATGTGATTGGCATATACCTGGATCTGGAAAACCACTGCTGTGAGAGGTAGCCCATTTCACCATTGCCCACCTGTATTTATTGGAAATGTTATCTTTGTAGAGAGAATCAAAACATGTCTTCTAGTGACTTCAATATCTGGTCTTAGTTCTGTCCTCCAGAGTAACAGAGACTAGGAGTCCTTTCTCTTTACGTATTTGATTATTGCTGTGAGTCATGTCCCTTCCACAACCAAACCTACTTTCTCTGGACTGAATATCACCTCTCTCTTGAATGCAAAGTTTTTCTCTAAGTGTGGTCCACAATGTTTTCAGATATAATACAGGACACCCAATTTATTCTTCAGATAATTTTTCTTTTTAGTATAAACATGTCCCATGCAATATATTCACTGTTTATCTGAAATTCAAGTTTAACTTGATGTCCTGTAGTTTTATTTGCTAAATCTGGCAACCCTGTCCACAGACTACCTGGATCAGAATCACCTGGGGGCTTTCTGCCCCAAAGACCCTGACACAAATGATGTACTCTTGCTCACTGATGTTTGAAAAGCACTTCTTTAAATATTTCTCAAATTCCTACTTGTTCTACTTTGGGCATTCTCTTGTATGAATTCCTAGAGTTAGAACCAACTCTTGTTGGTTAATGTTCCACATTTTTGAAGCTTTTAAAATGAAGCAATCTCAAGCAACACCAAGGTTCTAGGATATTTTATAAAATATATTCAGTGCTTTTAATATGCCAGACTGGTCTAGACAGTAAACGAGAATACCAAGGGCCCTGCCTTAAGAAGCCCATATTCTAGTGGGGCAGAAAGATGGTAAACAAGTAAACAAACAAATGCATCATGACACAGTTTCAGGCAGAGGTATGTCTTCTGAAGAAAAGTAAATCAGGATAAGAGACAGCGAGATGATTGAGAGGTGTCATTTCAGATAAGCTGGCCAAGAGAGGCTTCTCTGAGGAGGTGGTATTTGTGCAGAGCTTTAAGGAGGTAAGCGGCTGAGCCAGTGTCAAGGTCTGGGGAACTAGTGTTCTAAGCAGAGGTAAGAGCAAAGGCATGGGACCTGGTGGAAATAAACTTGGAGCTGTCAGGAAGCAGGAAGAAGGCCACTGCGGCTGGAGTGGAGTGGAAAAGGTGGAGGGTGGTAAAGTAGGCAAGTGGAGAGGTAGGAAGGGGCTAGATCATGTCAGGCCCTGTGACTGTAACATGAAATTTTGATTTTTCTGTAGGTGCAATAGGAAGCCATTGGAAGGGTTTGAGTGAGGAAGTAACAGGATCTGACTTAAATTTTATTTATTTATTTACTATTAACGTATTCATTCTTACAAATCGTGATATTTCTTTATGCCCTTTGCCCAACCTATCACTTCCCATATCCCCTCCCTCCCTCTCCGTCATCTCTAGTATCCTTAGGTTTGTTCTCTCCTTCTGGAATTTCAATGTGTTGTTGTGATCTTTTCTTTCATCCTTTCTTTCATTCCTTCCTTCTTCCCTCTTCCCCTCCCTCCCTCCCTCCATCCCTCTCTCCCTCCCTAGCAGCCAGTTATGAGTGAGAACATGCAGTATTTCTGTTTCTTTGTTTGACTTATTTCACTTAACATAATTTTCTCCAGACTCATCCATTTTGTTGCAAATGACAGAATTTCATTCTTTTTTATGGCTGAGTAGTATTTCATTATGTATATATACCACAGTTTCTTTATCCATCCCTCTGGTGGTTCTGTGGAGAATAGACTGAGGAGTTTAAGGGTGGATGCTAGACTAGGTTGTGAGGCTATTGCAGAAGTCCTGGATCCCACCTTTGACAACCTGTTCTTGTCCTGCTGAGCTTCTTCCAGCTCTTTCAAGAGCACTGTAGCATATGGCGAGGGAGTATGGGCTCTGACGCCAAATGGCCTTGGGTTTGAATCCTGACCCTGCCATTAGTATCTGTGGGATGTTGGCCAAGATTTTTTTTACCACCCTGGGCCTTGTTTTCTTAATTTGAAAAAAAAAATGAGGGTAATAATTACCTCATCAGGTTGTTGTGGGGGAATTAAATTAGTTAATACAAGTAAAATGCTCTGAATATTTCCTGGCACATTATGAGTGCCCAATAAATTTCAATATTATTACTGAGCATGCCATGCTCTTTCTTGCCTCTGAATGCTATTGTCCATTTCCCCCTATTCATCAGGCTAATTTTGCTCATCCTTCATTCTTTAAGTTGTCATAGGGAGCCCTCCCTGTCACTTCTGCCACATTCTATTGGGAAGAACAAGTCACAAATCCAGCCCAGATTAAGGGGAAGGGGAACAGATTGTACCTTGAGATGGGGCAATGTCACATTGCAAAGGAAGGGTGAAGAGTTGGGGCTACTTTTGCAATCTACCACCCCAGATGCCAAG